ATATATATATTACATATAATACAATATACAATAATATATACACATATACTCACACAGTGAAAACACGACACCTAAATTGTATCTACTGAATATAAATATGTGGTAGAAAAACTACGTATAATAATGTCTGTTATCCTGTCATTCAATATATAACCAGTAATCCCTAATCTTCATGAGTTTAAAGCATTTACATCTCAATGATATACCCACCCTCTAAACAGAAAAAAATAAGTCCTTGAGAAAATTGTGAGCACCCAAAGCAGGATTTCCAGAGACTTAGTTGACTGTGTCTTGTTCTTGTTTATTGTACCATAAAATCAAATACCCAATTCTCCTTCGGTCTCCCTCTTAAATTCTCTCATGGTTAGGCCCCTCTGGCCTCCCAGGGTTCCACTCGCCCTGTTCACACACTGTGACACAGCCATGTCTCTGGGGACTTGGAAGAGATGAGGTGTCAGAATCTGATCAGCCTTTTACAGGGGCAGATTTGTCCCTCAGATTTGTAGTAGGTGACTCTTGCACAAGGAGGCATGTGTTAGGTCATTCCTGACATTCCTTTTCCTCTTGGAAGGCCTTGCGAAGATTTAGAGCTCCCTCTGGGCCTAAGGTCTGATGTAGCTCTAGTCACCCATAACTCTTTCTAAGCGTGAGTCCCCCAGGAGTATACTGGAAATTTTCACGGAGCCAATGCCTGCACAAAGACTGGAAAAGTGAATTCTGAGAAAACCAGACATCCATGCTACAGTTTCATTGTGGAAGTGTTTTTTTCCTACTGTCTCCTATCCACAGAGATGTTATTCCAAACCTTACTTCCACGGCCAGGCTAGATTCTCTAGGGCAAGGAATTCTACACATCCACCCCACTAAGTCAGTGCCTCATTCCTGACATGTTCCTGTAGGATCCACAGGTCTCTACTAACAAGATTATTAAGTAGATCAGGTAATTTCTTCGGACAGTTGGTGATAACAACTGAGACTACACTTCAGAAATCAAAATACCCACTATGTTAGGGAGCAGTTTGTTTATTATGCATTGGTCTCTCTTCTAAATGGAAATAGATGAACTGCAATCAAACTATAGCTCTGACTTTATGAGCTGAGTGATCTGAAAGATACCATTTCGACAATATACACCCTCAAGTATAATCCACACATACTAGCAACTTTCTCTCTGCAATGTTGGAACCATTACATGTGAGTTAGCATGTGAGGGGGCCCTAGAGATGCCTAACCAGTGTCAACTGAAAACGAAAGTACGTTGCTTCTAGGCACATTGCCTAAGCAGAGCGTGTGACAAGAGATGGACAATATTCAGTTCCTTTCCTCAGGAAATCCACTTGGAAGTATAAGTAGGCCTCTATAAACTCTTTTAGGAATATGTGTAACACTTTTAGGATTCAGAGCACATAATTGTTTCTAGTTAAGAGAGTGATGAAAATCCATCTGTTATGTCTTGTTAGTGAATGACAGAAGAGTAAGAAATCTCATATAACTTGGGGTTATACACATTACCCAGTAATCCTTTTATTTTATTCATTGTTCATACATTTAAGTAAGATCTTTGATATAGTACAAACTGGGAATACAGCTCTTGAAAAGGATAGTTCCCCTTCCTCCATAAACCTTTGCCAGAGAGAAAGCAGATGTGAGCTACTCTTCTTCCACTTGATTTTCTTCTAGTCCCAGGTAGTTTCCAAACTTTGAAAATTTTCATTTCATGAGTGAAAATTTTTCTGTCTGAGCATAGCAGCAAATAATCAAAACGTACTGTATAATTGTCTATAAGCTGTTCGGCTACTGTCTTTCCAAATAGTTGGTCTATAGAGGCAACTAGCATGTTGTGGTCTAGAAATGCACAGTCCAGTGGACACTGTGAAGACCACTGTGGAATCCACATGCATGCGAGGTGGATCTTGGGGTTGGGAACTTCTGAGTCATTACTTCCAAGAGCATTGTTTGGAAAGTAGATCATCTGACCCTGTGCTAGGTGAGGCCAAGCTGTGTTCCTCGTTCTCACTGACAAATGTGACAGTGACTCTGGGGGAGGAGAATGAGCAGGGCTGTCTCCTTATTAATATGTCTGTGTGGGAAGTGTATGAGCAAGTGCTTGCAAACCCAGCCACAAGCACAGAGGAGTGGATAAGGGCTTGATGTCCACCCCTCCTATAGTATTGTCCACCTTGTACTTTTTTACTTTCTAAGTTAAACCTTAGTGGCTTTCTGGATAAGTATCTCCATCATTCATCACTAACCTGCCCACAACAGCCACCAGAGGCTAGATAAGGCCCTGGGCAGCAGATCAAACACCAAGAAGACAGAGTTTGTGTAATGTGACACAAGTCAAATGCCTGCTCCCTAGAATGGAGTTCAGTGACCTTGTGTAATACTGTGAGGAAGTCTCAACCTGCATTTGAAGCATTTAGATTACAAATCTAGGAAAATGGTGTGCAATGGAGATTTGTGCCAGTCTTGAAAGGAGACAACTTAAATATACTGGGGCTTTATCTAGTTAAAGCCTTCCTGTGATTAGATCCTGAATAGCACATGCCATTCCACAGGTCTACAAAAAAGTATTTCTCAACTTGTCTTGACCTCTGAAACACACAAAAATCATAATATATGTGCAATTTAGCAGGGAGAAGCAAAAAGCTACTATTGCCAAAGGTGACTACCTTGGACCTCCAAAGACCCTAAAATTGCCAGGAAAAAATTAGTACTGTGAAATACCTTCTTAATTATTCCCTACTTAAGCCCCACTTGCATTACAAATAGCCTGTCTCTCAGTGTCTGACCTTCGGGAACTGGAGAAATCTCACACACACACACACACACACACACACACACACACACACACACAGAATAAAGAAGACATTTTGAGAGTAGAAAATGAGCTTTATTAAAATATGAAATAAAAGAAGAATACAAGATATATAGTAGGGCTGAATGTGTAGGGCATGCAATCAAGTACAAAGTTCTTCACAGGAATCTCTGTGAGTCTTCATGATCCTTATTGATCTGTGCTTTATAGGACAGGGAATGGAAAGGGGAGAGCATTAGGCTGCACGAGGTTCTAGACTAATGGATTCCTCCAAAAGCTTCTGAAGGCCCAGCTCAGCAGCAGCCCCCAGAGCCGTGGCAGCAGCCAGAGCCCCCGCTGGGCTCACACTCACAGCAGTCAGGAGCCTGGTGCCTGCGGCGGTGGTGGAAGAGACGGGGCCTGTGGTGGCTCAGGCAGCAGCCGCCATCCCCAGAGCTGCAGCAGCCGCCAGAGCTGGAGCCACAGCAGGAAGGGACCGGGGGAGGGCATGGCGCTGGGCACTGTGGTGGGCACTTTGGAGGGCACTTGGGTGGGCACTTGGGTGGGCACTTGGGTGGGCACTTGGGAGGGCACTTGGGTGGGCATTTTGGGGTGCACTTGGGTGGGCACTTGGGAGGGGGCTGGCACTGCTGCTGGTTTTGCTGGCAGGACATGTTGTTGGGATGTTTCCAACCTAAAAGTTTGTAAGGAAACTGATTAGCTGTATAAAACCAAGGATATAATTTGCCTCATTAAAAATTAAACCATACATTCTGGATATTTAGTTTATATATAGTATAATGTATAAAATAATAATACAAATAGCCAGTCAATGAAACTGTAGGCAACTTAAATATATTGGGACTCTAGTTAATCACAAGCTTTCTTGTGTTTCGAACCTGAATAAAACATGTCATTAAAGATTATATACAATGGAAAGTTCCTTTGCATTTTTTCAATATACAAGAGCTTAAAGCATTCATGATTCATGAAGAATCCAACCTCTAAATAGAAATATAGTTTCCTGACAAGACTGAAACTCACATTTTTGTTAATCCAATGCCTCACCTGGAGACTACAGATGAATGGAGCCTTATTCCTGCTCATTAAAGTACATAATGAAATACACAGTCATCCCCTTTGGTCTCCCTTCCCTTCCCTCCCTCCTGCTCAGATCCCTCTGTCTTCCCAGGTTCCCACTCACCCTGGTCACACAAAGGAGCACAGACTCGTCCCTGGGGAGATGAAACAGATGAGGTCTCAGTGCCAGGTCGGCCTTTTATAGGCCCAAGCTTCACTCCAACAGGGGCAGAGGGTGGCTATTATGTCACCAGGAATTACTAGGCCATTCCTGACATTCCCTACCTCCTTGGCCCTGCCTCCAGGAATCCTTGTTACCTCCTAAGGCCCTGAATCTTGGTTGAATTCTAATGGGATGCTGTCTAGTCATATGCCTCCCTGAGGCTGAGTTCCCCAAAGAGATGCTTGGGGATTCTATAGGAGCCAGTGCTGTGACAAAGACTATAGGACACACTTTTCTGAAAAAACCAGAGGTTCATACCACAGCTTTCTTGTGGATGTATTCTATTCCAGGTTCTTCCCATCTGCCAAGATGTTCTTCTAATCCCGAATTCCATGGTCAAGCTGGAATTTCTGGGACATAGAATCAAGGCCTGTTGCGTACATCTTCCCTTCAGGGTCAGACCCTCATTCCTGACATCATACTCCTGTGGGGCTCAAGGTTTCTGCTAATAAGATTATTAAGTAGATTAAAAATAGTTTCTTCAGTTTTGGTAGTAATGATGACTGTAATGAAACTTCTTCATTTAAAATGAAACTACATTATAGGGTAGTTTTTCACTACATTATAGGGTAGTTTTTATAATAGTCTCTTAAAAACTGATGATCTGTGAACAAATTGTGACTCTAGTTTTACGAGCCATGTGCCCTCACATACTTCAGTTAGAATGTATAAATCTTCAACTCTAAAACTGACATAGGGCCAGGGATATAGTTCAGTGGCACAGTGCCTGCCTGGCAAGTGCAAAGTTGTGAGTTCAAGTCCCAGTACCAGAAAATAAATAAATAATTAATTAATAAACAATACATAACTAACTAAAATAGACATAATAGTAGCTTCCTCTCTAAAAGGGGGCCACTTATTGGGACTTAATGCACAAGGAGGTACAAAGAAGATACTAAAAAATTTCAGTTCTTTTAAGGATGTATAGTGCTTCTAATCTGCCTAGACAAATGTGTGAGACAGACACATTGACAATATTCAGTTCCTGTCCTAAGAATTTAATTTAGAAATAGCATATTAGTGTAAGCTCTTTTACAAATATTCATTATGCTTTGGAGATGCTAATAGCATAATTATTTCAACTCAAGAGGGTAGTGTAAATGAAACACCTTATTGACACTTACCAACAAATGATACAATAGTAAGAAATAATTTTGGATTACACACATTTTCCCTGTAATCATTTCATTTCCTTCATTTTCATACATTCACTGCAGACTTTCTATATGGAACAAACTTGGAATACAGATTTTGAAAGAGATAATTTCCCTTCCTTCTCAAACCTTTGGCCAGGTTTTAAGAATATATGACTTTGAGATTTTTACCAAGCTAAGACATGTCCTTTCTACAGTTTGTTTTTCTTCTAATGTCATAGTCATTGACCATTAAGAGTTCAGGTCAAGAGTGAAATGGTTTAATATCTGTACACAGCATTAATCAAAATGTATTGAAAAATCACCTACCCGCCTTTCAGTGAACATCTGTCTAAACATTTAAGATATAGACACAAATATCATGTGCACTAAGACCTAGGACCTCACAGTTCCAAAGAACACTATGAAGACCCTGTGAAATCCACATGTAAACAAGATGAAGCTTGGTATTTGGAAGCTTCTGAGTCACTACTTCCAACAAGATATTTGGGACCACAGATCAGTGTACTAGGAGAGTTCCTCATTCTCACTGACAAATGTGGTAGTGACCTTGAGGAAGAAGAATGAGATAGGCTGTGCCCTTGTGAATGTGTCTGTGTGTGAAGCATCTGCATGAGCAAGAGCTTACAAATCCACACACAAGCACAGAAGTGTGAATATGGGTTGGCTAGAAGAGTGCAAGCTGATAAGCACCTTGTCCTTGGAAAGACTGAATATATTTTTTTGTATTTCCTTGGGGTTTTTTTGTTTGTTTTAGGTTCTATGTTTTTATTTTGGTGTTTTGTACTTTTGTCCCAACATGAGAAGCCACTATGGACTGGACATCAGGCTGATGGTCTCTGATAAGTGAAGAAGAATTCTGGCTATTCTCAAGTCCACATCTCCAGTCATTTCACCAACAGTACACAAACTTTCTGAATGAGGTCTTTCTCCTCAGGTGTTTTCCTGGAGAGTCTAACAATTACAGATGCAATACTAACTAAATGAATGAATGGATGTGTGAACATTATTAGAAGAACGGTGAATGAATTATTGAGGAATCTCCTTTTACATTACATTCCCTGTACCAAAAAACACACTGACTTACCTTTTAATCCTATAAGATCTCATAAAATGATAAAAGTTTTAGTGTGAAATCAAATGAATTCTACCACAAAACCAACTAACCTCCAAAATGCCTCCTGCCACAGAGATTTTTCTCTCCTTCAGACAAGGCATAACCAAAAGTATTCATATCTCTCCTATATTCTCTACAAATAATATTTTATAGATACTTTGTATAAATTTCATTTTTTATCTCCTTCTTCTAACTTCTTCTTCTCACTTAAACTTAAAACTTCTCCTTTCTACTTAAAAAAGATATCCCCAGCCCTCACCTACTAACTCCTAAAGCAGACCTATAGCAGAGGATATGATCTACAGTTTTTAAAGAAAGTATCCTTAAACATCAACCTAAGTCCCTGGACCAATTTGCCAATGACTATAACCTTGTTGAAGCCATTATAACTCTGGGCACCAAAATATCATGCAGTAGTCTGGAATCTTGCATAGATTTCAAGAAGGAAGACAAAAGGAGAGTGAAATATTAGGAAAAATCATATATTTGTCAATAACATATAGGGATCAGGAGCTCCTAATCTTCTAGGATCCAATATGACGCTGGTGCTCTGATTCTCAACCCTGTGTAAAGTCATCCCTGATCCATTTCTGTTCTTGTATTGCTTACCTCTCAGGAACTTGATCTTTTTTGTTTTTTGTTTTTTGGTTTTTTTTTTTTTTTTGGGTTTTCTCCGGTACCGGGAACCGAACTCACGACCTTGCGCTTGCCAGGCAGGTGCTTTTGCCGCTGAGCTAAATCCCCAGCCCCTAACTTGATCTTTTTTATTTGTGACTATTGTGAGTTTATCCATAGAAGCCATGGAAGGAACACAACAAAATACCTCTGACTAGCTGTACTACAGGATCACAAGTGAAACCAAGAAGAGCAATAAGCAGGCTCAGGGGACCATCTGGACTTCTCCACACATGAGATAAAATTTCTCCATTTGTGAATGTAGAGGGAAGAGCACACCTGCAGAATTCTGATGGCAGTTATAAATGGAACTGAACGGACTTTTTACTTTTGTGTTTTTGTACATATTTTTTTCTTTCTCCATTTTCTTTCCTTTTCTCCTTTTGTGCTATTTTTGTATGTTAAAAGGAAAATGAGAATTATTGCTTTAGTTAAAATAGCATATTTCATATCAGGTTAACCCTCTCCAAAAATTATGTACAGAGAATTCAAACACGGCTTTCTATCAGAGTATTGCTTCTGTTCTTACAGCTTCCCTCAGTCTCCCATTATACTTTGATCCCTCTTTGTACTCCTTCCCACCCCTACAAACAAACTCTCAAACTTCTTTCCCACCAGTGACCCACTCTAAATATAAAAATAACATCAACAAAATCTTATCTATTTTCTTTCTTCCATTTCCTGTTAGCTGTTCTCCTTTCCTTCTTTCTGAATAATTTTCTTCTTTTTCTCCTTTATCCCAGCCTGCTTAAAATCAGTCTTATATCACAGACTTTCTCAGGTGTTTTTAAAAGAATGAAATTATTTTAAGTTTTAACTTGAATGATCGATACATGGCTGACTCTGTAGATGCTGACATACATAGGAATGATTCTCCCCTTGCAACACAGCAATCAAGACTGACCCTATTACACTGAGTAGGTTAAAGAGGTGTATAAATGTCAAAACATAACCAATGCCAAGATCACATCACCGGGAAGCAGACACTAACTAAAGAGAGCTCCACAGTAGTGTCAGAGTTCTTCTAGCCTAACTGATCTTGAAGCTGCAGAACAAAAACAGTAGAAACATGAGAAAACAAGGCAACAAGTTGCTTCTAAAATCTCTTGACTCCTCAAAAGCTAATCTCACAGGCATTGAAGTAGAGGAAATAAAAAACAAATTGGTTCAAATGTTTTGATAAGTCAAAGAAGAAACAAACACATAAGACACCCAATAAACTCAGAAAGGATGTGAATTAACTGATAAATGATTTAATTAATAACAGCTTCAACCAGCTTTAAGAAGAAAGTTGATCAAATTAAACAAAATGTGACAAGATTTGATGATCATTTCAGTAGAGAATCAGTGATAATAAAAAGAAATCAAGGGGCTGGGGATTTAGCTCAGCAGCAAAGCGCCTGCCTGGCAAGCGGAAGGTCGTGAGTTCAGTTCCCTGTACCGGAGAAAAACGAAAATAAATAAATAAAAAATAAAAAGAAATCAAGAAGAAATTCAAGATACTAAAAATTCTATTGAAAATATGGGCATCAGAAATGATCAACGTGAGGAGTGTCAGAACTAGAAGGCAGGGTGGATGTAGCAGATCATGTACTCAGGGATAATCTAAAAGCAACAAGACACCATGGAAACTGGGTCTAGCAACTGCTAAATGATTCAAACCCCCTAAGAATTATAGAAGAAGACACAACAAAAGGAATAAAAAATAATTGACTAAAATTATAGCAGAAAATTTTCTAAGTCTGTGGAAAGAATTCAACTTCCAGATAAACAAAGCATATGGAATCCCAAACATCCATAAGCAGAAAATAACTTCTTCACAACACATCATAGTCAAAGTCCCAGAAATTCAGCATAGAGAGTAATAATATCTGGTAGAGAAAACATCAACTTACAAAGACAAGCCTATGAGAATAACAGATTTCTCAACACATACATTAAAGGAAAAGAGAGCTCAGAAATATGAATGACATTTATCAAGTTCTAAATTAAAACAATCCGCAACCCAGATTAAAA